TTTTAATTAATTTAATTTTACTCATGACTCTTTCGGCAGTACACGAGGTTGTGGGAATGGTTAATAAATATTTATATAAAATTCTTAAATTAGGGAAAGCAGAAAAATTTAAAAGTAAACGATAAGGTAAAATAAATGAATAGTTTTTCCAATCTGAATCGTAAGTCCCTGAATTATCATCATCATCAGAAGAAGCTAAATAATGTATTGGTAAAAATATTTTAATTAAATAAATTTACAATTCTCAGAATCTGACAAATCTTTAGATTCTTGAACCTCTAGGTCATGAGTAATAATTACATTCCCCATTTTGGCCATCTTATAAATATTTCTAAACTTCAACATTTCTTCGAAAATTTGACTTGAATTTAAATTGTAAAATTCACAGATATCCTCGATATCTTCTTTAATAATTGATTTTTCTGCCATTCCCTTTGGCGTAAAAAATGATGTTTGATGTAAAAATTTCATTGAATCATCATTAAATCTTTCGTTAAACTGCATAATAATTAAATCGAGTGCAGCATAAAACACACCTATTTTAGCTAAAAAAAATTTCTATATTTAATGATGAAAGTATATATACCTCTCCTTTTTGGATTGTAATGTTTGAAGTCTAGAACTTTCAAAATCAAAAGGTAGATTTCTCTCCTTCATAAAATCTTGCGCCTTTGAAAAAACATCCAAAAATTCAGTGTTATTATCTATTAGATTAAAAAATAATTAAGACAATAATTTATATTATACTTCTCAAATTAATCAAGCAATCTTTTGCCAATAGAATTTGATTTATTGCATACCCTATATCCTTCGAAATGGTTTGCAATTTTGTACAAGCCAAACTTGTTATCAACAATATTTTATCCAAAATACTAAGTGATAAGATAAAATCAAATTTTTCTATTCTAAAGACTATAGCACTAGCCATAGTGGAAGTGGCAGGATCTTCAGAATCCTTTAAATTTGTTAAACTCAAGGCATCATAAAGTTGAAAAAAATTTACAATAGCTTTATATGACGATAGCCAGCTTCTAAATAAAAAAAATATTTAAAATTTAAATTAATAAGGAACTATTACCGAGTGGTATTCTTGACGCGTAGAAATCGTTGCGATTTTTTCAGATCATTACACTGAAATTTTTTGAGTACCTCATATCTTTTTACACCATTAAAATAGACATAAATCTCATCTAGTATTCCTAGAACATTTCGAAGTTTTTTAATTGATTGGCATAATTGAACAACGATTAAATTTATCGATGACAATAACACCAAATAAAAGCTGCCTTTGGCGCCTCTGCTCTAATCAAGGCTTGCACACCATTGATTCTTCCACTCATGTTTGAGGCGCCATCATAACTTTGCCCAACTAGATATTCAAGGGGTAAATTCATCGAGCCAAGTTTGGATATTATATTATGCTTTATATCGAGATCTGTGGTATTTCCCCTACAATATATGTCAATCAGTCTTTCAACAGGCTTCGGCGTCTCACTATTTTCAACATATACTATCAAAGCTATTGCTTCTGATTTCGAAACATCGTATGTGCCATCAACTATTATTGAAAAGCACCTGTTAAATGTAATCCCATTTTGAATTTTTTTTATAACCATATTTTTCATGGTTTCATTCAATGAGAATGTTTATGTTATTTTGTTATATGATAATAGGTTTGAATATAATTTCTTTTTTAATCCCTTTTTTATCCTTTTTTCTTTCTTCATTTTGCTCTATATACATTTTTAGTATAGGTTCAGAATCTGCAATAAGCTTAATAAGGGCCATCATATTGCCTTCTTGTTGCCTGTTCCCCCAGAAGGCTTGGTTACTAGATATAAATAAAATTTACTAAACATCGACCAAAATTTCCGTCAATATTTTAAATTAAATATTAAGTGGTGTGGGGCGGGGTCTTATTATTACATTTATAAACCAGAAATCACATAATCATGATGGATGTAAAAAAAAAAATTTATTTAAAAAAAAGTACCCCCACTTAAATTTACTGAAGCAGTTGCTTCGGACCCCCCCCCCCGTTGTAGGGGCCCCTGATAAGATCTACTTACAGATTATGGTAAAAATAATATGGATAAGGACAATTTTACTACTACTAATTATAGAAAGCGAATAAATAAGGTTATTAGGATTATTTTAAAAATAATTGTGACCAATTTGTATTTGGAAAAAAACAGCATTATAAGTTTTATAGGAGAATGTATATAATAAAATAATAAATGAAAGAATAAAACTTATCTTTAGTACCTAAAATAGTTTGTCTTGTCTTATCTTGTACTTCACTGGGGAAACACACAATTAAGTGATAAAATATTTTGGTATCCGGTTGTTAGGTAAATTATAAAATAATAATTGATAATGACATGACATGTTATTATGATTGACATTTTAAGGATAAAATGTGATAAATATAAAATGATATGATTTTATAATTAATATTATAAATTATAATGACTATTTAGGATATTAATATTATTATTTATTTTCCGGGTCGGGTTTCGGGTCGGACAGCTCTTACAACCCGAACCCGAAAAAAACTTTTTTCATGTCCGAACCCGGTCGGGTAAGTTACGGACAGCCCGTGCAGTCCTCTAGCCCAGGGTTAGTTTACAAACACCTCTTTCAGAACAAATAACTGATCCTAAAGAATTTTTTACCTAATCTAAGGAAAATATTATAAAGATTTCTAATTTATTAATATATATATTATAATTTTTTCTATTAAGAAATAGATTTTTTTCCCTATATTATATGGAAGACATATATGAAAAAGAGCAAATAATTTTAGGATAGAGATCCATAAAACACTTACAATACTAGGAACGCAAAAATTTCATTCATTTCATCCAATTTCTCAGGATTAAATTAAAGTTAAATTTTATTCAAGCTTAACAGAATCGCAAATATTAAATATAACATTTCACTTGTATATTAATGCGAATTTAATGTATGAAAAAATAAATGGATATATAACATGTATCTATGACAATCATTAGTGAATGGCCTATGTTTAGAGAGAAAAAGAGGTGTTCGTTTTTTGCATCTTTAAGGACCCTTAAATTCTTATACATATCCTTTTTTGATTGACAAATTGTGAATACCATAAATGACAAATTTTAGATGTGATCAGTCCTTCAACTGCTACCGGACAAACATATACTTTATATAAGAATGATACAAATAAAATTACTCATCTTACATTAAAAAAAATAAACATAGGGAAGCTTTTTTTTGGAAAATCATTCAATATTGTGTAATTTTACGTTTAAAATATAAACTTCGGGGAAGCAATGCCTATTTTTTTAATAAATAAAAGTAGAAAATTTTTTATATTATATTTTTATCTCTTCTTTTTTTAAATGAAAAATTACTTCCTTTTTTAAAAGCAATAATTAATTTAAAATGTCTAATTATTGTAATTGTATTACTAAAAATTATTAAAGAAATTTTGATGGAGATATTTAGAAAAGAAGACCTAGCCCAATTTTACAAACTTGCATTAATAATTTTTTTTTGATTAATATGAAAAAATGAGTGGCTCACTGGATGTGAATTTTTTATAATTATCTATATTTTTGGTCATATTTATTCCAAAAAAAAAATGAGTGGAATGATAAAGGAGATATGAATTATTTTTCAAATGTAGTCAGTTAAACGGCATGAAGAAGCAACTTCTCATATTGCAGTCGATGATTCGATTAAAAACATTTCGAAAAACGTATTGAAATATAATCGATTCGATGCACATCGAACAGCATAATTCGAAATTCAAATCAAATAGAGAAATAATGAAAATATTGATCCAACTCTATGCTTTCTTGGAATTCAGGAGTTCTTATTCCGTGGAATGAATTTTTTAATCAATAAATATAGGAAGTTATATTAATTAATTATTTGCCCTGAGAAAAACATTTATTATTTGAAACATCATTTAAAAAATGCGAATTCACAATGATTTAAATAAAAAAAAATTTCAATTGCTTCCCTATAGTAGTAAAGTAAACGACGCTTCATCACTGTATCCTACTAATTATATTTACATAGAAGTTTATTAAATCGTTGATTTCCAATAAATTTTTTATAAATTCCTTTTAGAATTGAAACGCGAAAATTAAAATAATCTTATCAAATTTTCCTATCGAATAATTAAATTAAAAATATCTCACGCCTTCCCAAAATAACCTTAAGTCATAAATTACTGAATGAATAGTGATAAAATCAAAGGTTTTCAAATAACTTTTAAAAATACATCACGAAAAAACAAATATAACCTTGAAAAAAATTACGCAAAATTTTATAATTCGTTGGATATGTATTATAGCTTCTGTATCCAATTTTAAAATCTTCAGGAAAGCATATTTTAAAAATTTTTTTTGTGTGTTTTAAATGAGGTTATAATAATGCAAATGAATGATTATTCTAAATAGTACTGAAGAATTGATTTTTAGAAAAAAATGAAAACTGATAAATAATTATAATTTATATAAAAAATTTATGGAAAAACTAATATAAATTCTATAGTTCAAAAGTTCATGAAAAAATTTTCTAAAAATTACATGGTAGGTTTTTTAAACATGTTGGAATACATTTCAGTAAAATCTGATTTACAAATTTAAAAAAAAACGTGCTCAAAAAATGGCTATTAGTTTAAAAAAAAAAGTATTACATTGACTGAATATGATACCAATTGCTAATTATAATTTATAAAAATGTATCATAAAATTAATATAGCTTGAAATCTATGATATAAAAGTTATTTCTATTTTTTTTAATCAAAGTAGGATCTTGAACCAATATATTCGTAACAATCGGACATATTTTTTTTAAAGTTTTTCTCAGTTCAGTGACCATAGAAAGCCGATTTAGGCTTCTAGTATTTATATAAATTGAGGGGGGTGTTAGAGGTGAAATTAATTATAACAAATTTTATATTTCGATTAACATACAAATTGTAAATATGAAATAAATAAATAAAAATTTAGATAAATGTTACGTTGGCATCCAATGTCAACTCAAAATTTATATCTATCGATAAATTTGCCCATTATATGATGCAGCTCTACAAGAGAGTTCTGATAGAAGACGACAGCGAGGTTTTGGAATCTATTGAAAAGGTAAATGCATATGAGAGTTCTTGTTTTGTCAGATCTTAGTATTTAAAATTATAAACAATTTATTTCAAAACATTTAAAACAAATCCTTCTACATTTCTATCATAAAGGCTTGGATCGTTTTGATGTCACGAGAAATATCACCTTCTGTTGCCACCACATCTCTCGTCACATTGGTTGGCAATCATTTAGATAACATGATTTGCTTGGCTATGCATAGAAGTGATGTACCTATACAAAATTTGGGACATTCATACCCCAAAACATCGTCTAACGATTTGGGCCATGATGGTACAAAATTTTATATAGGAGGAATCGATTCTTTAAACTTTGGCTTTCAAGAACGGGAGACTAACGTGGTAACATGTCGATTGGCCGCTTGCCGACTGTTGTCAATAATGCTCTATAGAATTTTTAAGTATGAATTAAAAAAATTTTAGTTTATTTTTTATATTACTATATACTGTTTATTTCCCTTGGCAACAAAGAAACTTGTTTTAAAAAGTGCCCATTGACGATGAAGGGTTTTTAAAGGATCTATTACAATAAAACTATTTTGATTGATTAATAATAATGATTATTAAATATGCAACATGGTGTAAATAATAGATTGATATGATTTAGCCACGTGGAAAGAAGAGAGCTGAATTATATAGGTAGCTTGGTAAACGGGATGAGTAATAGAGGGCAAAAAGACGATAGGAATACCAAAGCTACAATGATAACGTTTAAATGAAAGGGGCCTTAGGATTTTTATGATTTATTGGAAGGGAATGGAGTAAGATGATGAAAGAGTTGACCACCAGACCAGAGTAATGAAAACATATAAACTATTATTTTTTGAGATAATCTAAAATTAAGATTTATAAGTTGTAATAATTAAAAGTCTAAGATTCACATCATTTAAATATACCTCGACAGTGACATGGAGGACGAAAAGAAGAATCTTACTTCAATGGTACAATATCATCATTTTTTGAGAAGTTTTGAAACCTTGATTGAGTTCCATCTTTCTTCTCACTCTGCTGTTCAAAGGTTTGTGGGAGCAATGTTTCTACAACAGCTGATGAGCTTATTTGCTCTATGGGTATGCAATTTTTTATTCATGAATTTTGTTTTGTAATTACTTTTTATGATTTTTTAAACTGGCATTAAAATTATTCTTTGTTCATGGACTTAATGGGTTTTGAAAAGTTATATCTTAGAATAAGTAAATATATGTTACAAGTTTTTGCTTAATAAAAAGTGCATTTTCATTGATTCTAAATTGAATTATTTATTTTTATAATAGATTATATTGTGCTAATTAAATTATGTAATTCTAGATTCATAGAAATCCATCACAAAATTTACCTCAGACTCAGACCCAATCCTTTTCTCAAACCTTCAATCATTGGCCTGATTTTGACCGGATATACTCAAAACTTCCTCACTATTTATCGGAAAGTTTTTATTTCGATGAATCAGCCCCCAACCTATTCGAGATTCAAAACCTGTCCCAGAAAATCAAAGATAAACTCTACAAATTGACGCCATTATCGGGGCATAAGAAGCAAGCTCTTGATATGCCAAGCCACATATCACAGCTGATAAACGAACAATCTTCCTCATTAAGTAATAAAATATGCGCAAAGATCGAAATGTGACAGTAGAGCACTACGCCAATTGACCTGATTTGTCCGAAATTTTTTCGGACTCGATCAGGTAGATTTTGATTTTCAAATAATTCAAACTGGACTTGGCTAAATTTTGAATAATTTTTTTCATAATGCTTCTATTAGATAGATATTCTTTTCACGAAAAACAATCAATTTTTTTTTATATTTTCCTCTAGCGTTTATAATTTTTCTGTAAGAAATCTTTTTTTTTCTTCACTCTATATTTTATATTAAATAGAAATTTTTCCAAATCTAACCAGGACTTGTCTTTAAAATTAAGAGTGCGGGTTGGACTTGAATCTTTGAAAAAAATAAATCAGATTGGTAGGATAAAATTTTCTTGGAGGGAACTGGACAAGAAAGAATGGGTACAATGCAGGGATCTTGTCGGTTGGGAAATGATAATCGAATTGCATTATTAGACAATATCAATATATGGTATGGTATTACTTACCAAATAATGAATAGAATAATTACATAATTCGTATTTGAATCAAATAATTGTATTTTGACATGGAATGACCCAAATCGAATAATTCTTTATTTGTATTTAGAGTATGAGAGAACAATCTGTCCATCTTGTGGTCTTTTTACTTTTTGAGGCGGACCCGCTTTTAGGACAAATCCTGCAGTACTGATCGAATTTTAAAATATAATTTGCCATTTTAATATATAAATAAAAATCGGGATTTTGATATTTTTGGTTATAAAACGGACCGTCCTTCTGGCGCAGGATCAGTTTTCCGGAACCTTTATGTCGGGCGTATCATAACGAAATTTTCCTATTCTCTAGTTGTATTCTTACAAATAATAAATTCATTATTCGATTTGCAAAAATATACTCCATTCAATTAGGAAAAATTTATTTTTCAAAAATACAAAAGGGGAATATTAAAATTTTAAAAAAATGATTTGGAAAATTAATCAGAAGAATAAAAAGTTCCACAAGGGGTATGTTACTTACAAATAATTTGATCAATTTATGAAGCTGGTATTATACGACGAATATTTTTATTCATTATTCACGAATAATTGTGTTATTCACATTCGCAAAATATGAATTGAATAACAAATCGAATAATTTGTTTTAGGAATTATTCTTGTTAGTGAAACCTCAATATTATGAATTGACCTTTGATTATTAATTCAATGACTGAGAGGTACCATTTCAAGGCCCAGCTCAGATTTTAAAAATATCTTTAGCCCGGCCTGTATTTTATATTTTTAGGCCTGGCCCAGCCCCAATTATTTTTTTAAAAAAATTTTTCGGCTCAGCCCAGCTTAGATTTTTTTGAAAATATTTTTAGCCCATAGTGTTGTTAATTAGTCGACTTCTTCCGACAGGGAGTCGGCTAAAAACTTTAGTGTCTAAATTAGTCGACTAATTTCATGCATTTACTTATAATTTTATTCTATTATATTTCTTTTTAGTTATTTTTGTAGTTTTTACAACAAAATTTATGAATTAATATAAATTTAAAACAAAACTTTAGTAATTAATAAAAGTTCAAATATTGAATTTTAATTAAAAATATTAATTATTCTATATAATTAAACGTTTTAATATAAAAGCATATTGGTTTTTACCTTTGTATTTTTCTTTCACCTCAACTAAAAATGTTACAAAGAAAATTAATCAAATGATAAAGAGATCTGGAAAAACGACGACTGCTTTATTTCCTGTTTTTATCAATATATATCAGAGACCTGCCGAGGTACCATTTGCACGGCCCGGCCCGGTTTTAAAAATTTAAGGCCCGATTTTTTAAAAAAAAAATTTCAGGCCCGGCTCTGAATTTTTTAAAATTATATTCGACCTGGTATATACAAAAATTCACCTATGAGGTATTTTACCATATTTTTCAGCGAGTATTATCGCTTATTATTTAAAAAATACATGTAAAAAGCTAATATTTTGAGAATATTATATTGAATTTATAAAAATTATAAAACTGTTATTTATAAAAATGGATATTTTGGCATATACTATATTTTATATTGCATTTATAAAAATAAAACTAATATTCATAAAAAGGTAATAATATTTTGAGCATATACTATATTTTATATTGCATTTAAATAAAATAAAACTAATATTTAATTTATAAAAATGGAAAATATTTTGAGAATATAATATATTGTATTTAATTTACTATTTAATTTATAAAATAAAAATAAATCGCTATTTAAAAAAATGCATGTATAATAAATAGTATTTTGAAAATATAATCTAATTGCACAATATTAATATAATTTATTTTATAATATAAATTTTTAACAAAAGAAGATAATTGTATTATATGATATTGTAAAAAAAAATAATGAAAAATGTTGGATTAAAAACTTTCATGACTCAAGGTAAATATAATAAATGCAATAAATATTTGACAGTTTGCAAAGTAAAAAACCAGCATGATTGACGAAACCCTATACTCAAGAAAGATATTAAAAATTCACAAATTATCATGAAGAAAGAGAAGCATATCTACCTTTTCAGGTTGAAGATTACTTCTTCTTTCTTCAAGAATTCTCCCAGTAGTGGAAAAATTCCGCTCACAGCTTGCACTTGAAGCAGTTGATGAGCCGCCCACCACTCTAACAAATTATCCACCTTAAATGTTTCATCTATTTTTTTATTTATGTAATTATAATATTCATCATCGGGTATTGACATATTACCAGAATTACCATCGCCCCATTTGTCATAAAACGATTCAGTTTGTTTAACAACAGTCGTAATTTGACTGGTCGATGGTATTTCATTTACTTCCTGAGCCTCTTGTAATTTAATATAATCTTTTATATAGTTTTCCTTCATCTTGCGATCTGTCCCTGACTACATACGTAATTGCTTGAATTTGGGACAGAGAAAAAGAGAAATAAAATGATACTGGTATAAAACAAATTTATCAATTAAAAAATGCTTTATATTAAGTAAAATCAATTTTATTTCTCCTTTTTCGCTTTGAAAGGTATTACAAACTTCAAGAAGTGATATTCCTTTATTTGATTGTTTTGGTAATATATATTCTAAAAATTTAGATGTGAATTATAAAAAAATATTTTAATAATACTTGAATATTGGGGCTTATTTAAGATATTCCTTTATTTGATTGTTTTGGTAAAATATGTTGTAAAAATTTAGATATGAATTATAAAAAAATATATTAATACTTTGAATAAATTTGCAGGAAATTAATAATTAGATCGATCTGTGGGTGTTAGGTAGTGTTAACCATCACTCAATATTTTATTAATCATAACTATAATATAATATAATCTTATAACCATAATGTAAAAATTTTTATAAAAAATATTAAGGCCCGGCCCGGGTTTAACAATCTTAGGCCCGGCCCGGATATATTTTAAAAAAAATTTTTTAGGCCCGGCCCGGATATGTTTAAAAAAATTTTTTTTAGGCCCGGCCCCGGTATATTTAAAAAATTTAAAATACTGGCCTAGTTTAGGGCCGGGCCTGCAGGTCTCTGATATATATATCTACTAGAAGTCTGCATTGGGCGGGTTTTTGGACCAAAAGCCCTCCCACCCAATGTTTTCAAAAAAAATATACCCGCCCGCCCCGCCCATTTGTCTAAAATTTTTTACCCGCCCGCCCATTAGTCTAAAAAATTTTACCCGCCCGCCCATTATTTATAAAAAATTTTAACCCAAGTCCATTTATAAAATTTAATAATGGCCATTCTTTCAATTTTTTTAAGCATCTAATAAAAATATTTCAACATTACACCTCTACAAAAAGTTTATAATTTAGGAAATTAATATAAGTACAAATAATCAATGTAAATTATGGACAATTTATTTGATCAAATAGAAATTTATGATATAAATATAAATATAAAATTGATATTATATGTAATTATAATTCAGAAATAATAATGAATCGACATTTTCAGGATTCAAACACGTTCTTTGTTCTAAAAACCTTCAGCAATGCTAAATCCTCGTTCAGAAGAAGCACTACTTGCAGGAATCGCCAATATTTTTCTTGCTAATCTTGATAGCTTTGACAAATCTCTTGGCGTTTCCACCAAAGTAGGATATCCGTCTGAATTATATCCTCTTCCTCAAGTGAGATCCAGATGTCCCGTATGCAATATATGTAAAACTCTTTTTTGAAGTGAGTACGAAGATTAATCTGCCATTCCAAAATAAAATACCTTGCTATTTTCGTAATCGTTTCATGCTATTCGGAATAGTAACAGAACAAAATACTATACAGTTTTATAAACCAGACATCGAGTTAATATTAGAAACAGATGCATCTAACCAAGGATATGGAGCTGTATTCATGCAAAAATATGATAATGGTAACGAATTTCCAATAGCTTACACCTCAGACGCTGAAAAGAATTATTCTACAATCGACAAAGAAGCAAAAGCAATACAAAACGGTGTAGAAAAATCTCAAAACTATTTGTATGGACGAAAATTTAAAATTTGAACAGACCACAAACCTTTAATAAAGATATATGGTAATAATAGAGATTTAAGCTCATTAACAAACCAAAGATTATTACGTTGGGTTTATAAATTATCTGCATATGATTATAATATAATGTACAAGAATGGCGCTAATAATATAATTGCAGATGCTTTATCGCTAAACCCAATAGAGAAAAATGATGATAGAATAACAAGTGAAAATAAAACAGTGAAATGTATAAGAAATCTTACTTATGACACATTAACTTTATCAAGAAAAGAAATGGTACAAATATACAAAATCAAGCACCAGATTTACAAGCTTTTAGAACAAGAATAGATGAAATAGAAAATAATGACGGTATTTTATTTTGGAATGGCAGATTAATCATTCCGTACTCACTTTAAAAAAGAGTTTTGCAGATATTGCATACGGGACATCTGGGTATTACAACAATGAATCCATTACGAGACATTATATATGGTGGGAAAAATTAGATAAAGATGTCGAAA